TAAAGATTGTTGATATGAAACCATAGTTAAGATTTCCCTTTCTCATTGTAAATTTATTTCCTATGTAGGGAGAATTAAATAGGCATGTATTTCCCATCCCTAATTTCCTAAAGCCAGAGCCAAAGAGTAAAACCACCAAGAGGAATAGGATCTTCTTTTTAGCATGATGCTTCGTCATGAAGACAGAATTGGTGATATCAGAACTGAATCTTACTCCACAGTCTGTGTTGCTTGAAAAATACATGCCCTTGTAGATGTCTGCATTCATTTCTATTATTGCCAAGCCACAGAAATTATTTTCCTCTTTGTTTTGGTCTCTTTAAGAGTACGTCATTATGCCATTTCAAACTGTGTGACTGTTTCGTAGTTAAATTTGTTCCTGAAACATTTAAGGTGTCAACTGATGGACCTATTAATTGTTCTGTTTCATTGTTTATAGACTTACATTCATGGTGTTTTATAAGTGCCAGTTCCAAGTCTCCCTTTCATATAGAAATTTAACCCATTCCCATATGACGAATTTTTCTACTAGTGATTCGGTGATATTATTGACTGATTTTCTTCTAAATTGTATTAGTTTAGATTTTTATATAAACTTTTTTTAGTTTTGTTTTTATGAAATAAAAGGAACAAAATGTGAAGAATACTATAGAAATAGTATGAGTCAAGTTCATGAACCACATAATGCCTATCAATGATCTATATCATTTCTGTTCTCAGAGTATAGTTTATATTTGGGCTTTTTTGTATTTTTATAATTATTCTACAATCTTCATTATGTAATCTTAGTCTACAAGAGAATACTTATAAAAACATCAACAGTCTTGGGAATAAGGTTGCCACATTTTTCACATAGAAATACTAGATGCCCAGTTAAAGCTGAATTTCAGATAAACTATGCTAAAATCTTTTGTTATCAATGTCCCACATATTACCTGAATTTCTAAAATGAGTATATCCCAAATATTGCATGGAGAATGAATGAGTTTTAGTATCAAGATGTCCCAACTATTGCATGAAATTTTTTATTATAAGTATATGCTAAGTATTGAATGGGATATACTTAAACTAAAAAAAAAAAAGAAAAATTCACGTTATTACTCAGTCATAAAAAAGAATGAAATACTATCTGACATTCACATCTAGCTGAGTGTCCTGTGTTTTATCTGACAACTTTATTTGGAAGGCATCATGGTAATGTGAGTGAACATTTGTGGTTCTGGTATTTAAGTACCTGCAGAGCCTTGGACATCTCATTTAACCTACCTGAACCTAAGTTTTACCATCTGTAAAGTGAGAACAAATCCTAGTTGTTTTGTAGGTTTTCTATAAGTATTTGAAGTTCTTTTCTTTAAATACCTGGCACATAATAAATTTCCATTAAAAATAGCTGTTATTATCAGGATAAGAAAGAAATACAACTGCAGGTTACCGTTTTTTTCTATCTTCATAATAAATGACAGCACTCAACAGCTAAATAGTCCAGTAGACTGATAATGGAAGCATCCATCCAGATGTTGGTTGATGGTTCACCAGATCAGAAATCTGACTGGTAATAAAATATACACAAGCATTAACCTCCCTTCTCTCTTCTACTACTCACCTCCTCTTATGTTACTTACCATAGATCATGCAACTTGTTAGTATCAGAGCCTGAATGTATGTTGCCTTTGCATGTTGCCTTTTTTTCTAAGTTACAATTTTATTTCAATCCTGCCTTTTTCAAATACTTATTTTTTATTTTATTAATTTTTATTGAGATATAATTTGCATATCATAAAATTCACTCTTTCGAAGTACCAAATCAGTGGTTTTTAATATATTCACAAGTTTCTGCAATGATCACCACTACGTAATTCCAGAACATTTTCATCATGACCAAAAAGAAGCCCCATACTCATTAACAGTCATTCTCCATTCCCCAGTCCTCCTTCTCCTGTCAACCAATAGTCTACTTTCTATCTCCATGGATTTGTCTATTCTGGACACTACATATGAATGGAATCATACCATATGTGGCCTTTTGTGTTTGACTTCTTTCACTTAGCATAATATTTTAAGGTTCATTCATATTGTGTCATATGTCAGTACTTTATTCTTTTTATGGTCGAATAATATTCCATAAACAGTATGTACCACATTTTGTTTATCCATTTATCAGCTGATAGACCTTTGGGTAGTCTCCACTTATTGGCTATTGGAAATAATTCTTTTAATGAAAAATCTTGCACAAGTTTTTGTATGAACATGTGTTTTCTTTTCTCTCAGATACATATCCAGAAGTAGAATTGTTGGGTCCTATTGTAACTCTATGTTTAGCATTTTGAAGAACTCAGACAGCTTTCCAAGATGACTCACCATTTTACTTTCACACCAGCAATGCAAGGCATTTGAATTTTTCCAATTCCTCACTTGTTATTATCTGTTTTGTTGTTTTTTTATTATAGCCATCTTAGTATTCATAAAGTGGTACCTCATTGTGATTTTGATTTGCAGTTCCCTAGTGACTAATGATGTTGAATGTCTTTTTGTATACTTATTGGCTCTCTATCTGCTTTGCAGAAATATCAGTTTAAATCTTTTGCCCATTTTTAGTTGGGTTATTTGTCTTTTTATGGTTGAGTAGTAAAAGATTTATATATTCCTATCAGATATACGACTTATTTCTCCCATTCTGTGGGTTATCTCTTCACTCTCTTGACAGTGTTTCCCCCCCCCCCCACCTTTTGGCTGCACCACACAGCTTGTGGGACCTTAGTACCCCAACCAGGGATTGAACCCAGGCCCTGGCAGTGAGAGTGCCAAGTTCTAACCACTGGACCGCCAGGGAATTCCCTTCACAATGTTCTTTGATAGATAAAAGTTTTTAGTTTTGATGAGGTTTTATTTATCTGTTTCTTTATTTGGTTGTCTGTGCTTTTGGTGTCATATTCACTTATCTTTTCTTCCTCAAAGAATCAAACAAACATTAAACACTGAGGAGAGACATGAGTTCTTTTCCCAACTTTGCAATTACATAAATGTGTGACCTTAGATAAGTAGTTAAACTCATTCAGAACTCAGTTTCCATATCTGCAAAAAGAAGATGCTTTCAGCGGAACAGGCAATTTTCAATTTTTGGTGAATAATTTCTATAAAACCCCCTAGGTTAGTGGTTCTCAACCTGGGTAACATCTGCCAGTCTCTGGAGACATTTTGGCTGTCACAACCAGAAAGAGGTGCTACCGGCATCTAGTCAGTGGAGGTCAAGAGTGCTGCTAAATATCTTACAAGACACATGGCACTCCCCCAACAAAGAAGTTATTGTTGTTGTTAAGTTGTATACAACTCTTTGTGACCCCATGGACTGTGGCCCATTGGGCTCCTCTGTCCATGGAATTTCCCAGCAAGAATACTGGAATGGGTTGCCATTTACTTCTCCAGGGGACCTTCCTAATCCAGGGATCAAACCCATGTCTCCTGCTTGTCAGGCGGATTCTTTACCACTGAGCCACCTGGGAAGCCTACAACCAAGAATTGTCTTGCCCCAAATGACAACAGTGCTGAAGTTGAGAAACGCTGCTCCAAAATTATGATTCTATTATTCAAGTCTAAGTGGTAAATCTTTGAGTTTGTCTACAGGAGCCAGAGTATTTTGTGTCCTTAGCATAATTCTAGATGTGCTAGTGTGATAGCAGTAGTAGAAGGGAGAGGTACCAATAATTCTTGCAAATCAGAAGAATATTTTGAAAGTGCTTTTTAAAGGCTTTTGAAATCTATTATAGGGACTTCCCTGGTAGTCCAGTGGCTAAGATTCCATACTCCCATTGCAGGGGGCCTGGGTTCGACCCCTGGTTGGGGAACTAAGATCCCACATGTTCCAACTAATGATTGCAACATGCCTCAACTAAAAAAAAGATCCCTCATGCCACAATGAAGATTGATCCTGCATGCTGCAACTAAGACGTGGCACAGTCAAATAAATAAATACAAATAAAGGTTTTTAAAACTAAATAAATTAAATCTATTATATCTTTTAATATGTAGAAAAAATATTTCCATATAGGTACCTCCAGGCCAAGCCTTGTAGATGTATTCTTGTTATTGAGTCTTCTTTGGGGGTTTTGGAACAAAATAGCTTTTGTGAAATAGTTGGTACATGCTGTGAAATAGGTCTAATGAATTAGAATAGGAAAAAGAAAAGCAGAACAATTTGATGGAAGGAACTTGGAGTTGATGTGTCTCTGTATTAGTGATTTCTCTAAAATGACTCTTCTCTAAAGTACTATTAGTCCAACTGAATTTTTAACTCTAACTTTATCCCATACTGTCAGATGAAATGTACTGATTACCTTGAGTTCCACACATAATCTATGCAAAATAAAACACACAATAACTGGAAGTACATTTCAGCATTCCTAAAGATCTTGACATGTAAATGCTATTAAACTTGCAGGTTTGTCTTTCCTGTGACAATATGGCTGATTGTTTCATGTCTTGCACCATTAGATTTAATGATGACCACCACCACACCCACCACCATCAATGTCATAGACTAAGTGTTCTAAGTACTTTATAAATGTGTCTCATTTTTCCTCACAAAATCTTATCAGTTGGTTTTAAAACAACATTTTTCAGGAAAGGGGAAAGTGTAAAAAAAAAGTGGTAGAATACCTGCTAACCATATTTCCCTATTAAACTTTTTCTTGTGTATCAAAGCTATTTCATGTTTCAACAACAGAGACAGAATGTTTATTGGTAAATCTGTAAATATTCATGTTTCTAATTTTCTAGCACCCCAGGTAATAGCAATTAAATCCTGAATATACCTTTTTTTTTTTTCAAGAAGAAATATCTTAGGTTTACTTCATCCTCTCAAAAGTACATGCACATACCTAAAAGCTGCTATAAAACTATTCCATCTCTGAACATCTACACATGTGTATTTAGAATTTTAAAATTGCACAAGTCCTCTAATATATAGGCAGTGTGAGAATTTTTAACTTTGTTTATATGTACAGGAAGCAGTGAAAGAAAACAACAAGAGAAAAGAACTGGAAGAGAAGACTAGGAGGGCAAAGCTTGCAAAAGAGAAAGCTGAACAAGAAAAGTTGGAACGCCAGAAGAAGAAGAAACAACTCATTGATATAAACAAAGGTATGAAGTGCTTCCATTAAAAAAAAAAAAAGACATATGAAGTGTAAAGTAATTGCATTTAATTAATTTTGAATTATAAACTGAATAATTATGGTTTTGGTAGAAAATTTACCATATTATTAGTTACCTTTATCAAATGTCTCTCATTATTATCTTTATTTCTTGTCATCCTACACTGAACACAGGATTTTTGATAGCCAATGCAAGGTAATATGTTGTTGCAACACTCTTTTCATTTTTTTAATCAAATTATATATGTTCTGAATGAGGCAGTGGTAAGAGAATAAGAGAGTGAGAGGAAAAGAGAAACACTGGTCTGGAGAGATGAGCCTTATGGTTTTAATTTTATTTTATTGGCACGTGCCTGTTGATAGTACAGCAACGACTAACACCCTCCTTTGGGATCTTAAACATTTCACGTCTTAATGGATATTGACAGCACTATTAAAAGCTGAAAAAAAGTAGGGAGAAAGCACCTTGTCCAGCTGTGAGCCTACGAATAAAATACTGGTATATCCACATAGTATGAAGTAAGTTGTTTTCTTGGTTAGCAAGAATGACTGCCTGTAAAAGGTGGATCTTTTTGCTTTGGTTTTGTTTTCTTTTTAAAGAGAGGGAGGTAAGAAAGTGATCAGCATCAGGTACCTGCAACTGAATAATGAAAAAGCATAGCCTTTGCCACTGAGAGTTAGAGAATTTAAAAACAAAACAAAATCTGAACAGGATGCAAGATAATATGATTAATATGGACCACCTGTTTCTAAATATATGATATTCAGAATTGCAAGCACTGTATAATGTTTACCATGTGCCAAGCACTGTTCTAAGGCTTTCACATATTTTAAGAACATTAATCTTCATAACATCTCTCTGAGACAGATGCTATTAGTATCTCATTTTACAGACGAGGAAACTGAAGCTCATAGAAATTAAGGAGCTTGCCAAGGTCACACAAATAGGAAGTATTAGCAGCAAGATTAGAATCTAAATAGTCTGGTGATAGCATCTGTACCCTTATAAATGCCATTGTCAAATAATAACAATAACAAGAGCAACAACAGCAAACATACAGTACTTACTGTGTATCAGGAATTTACTGTGTTCTAGGATTTTATGTATTTGAATATATTTAATCCTCACAAAACCCTAATAGAAGAGTATTACTATCTCATTTTAAGATGAGGAAACTGAGGCGCAGAGAAGTTAAGGGAGTTGTCCAAGTTGACATAGAGAGTAGGAGGTAGAACCAAGATCTGAACCTAAGCAGTCTGTGGCCAAAGTTAATTTTTAATTATTGTTATGCATTTTTAATTGCAAGTACTTATTATAATTGAAAGTGAAAGTGTTGGTCGCTCAGTCGCATCCAACTCTGCAATCCCACAGACTGTAGCCTACCAGGCTCCTCTGTTCATGGAATTCTCCAGGCAGGAATACTGGAGTGGGTTGCCACTCCCTTCTCCAGGGGATCTTCCTGACCCAGGGATCGAACCCCAGGTCTCCTGCATTGCATGCAGATTCTTTACCATCTGAGCCACTAGGGAAGCCCCATTATCAATTATTCTGCCATAAATCTTCTAAAGTGATATTTGGCAAATCTTCTAAAGTGATATTGCTACCATTTTCTTCATACCTTGAAAATACATACAAATTTTAGGAAGTGACTACAGTTTATTTTTTTGCACAGGAAATAAGCATAATTTTCAAAGAAAAAAAGTATACAGAATGGATAAACAGCAAGGTCCCACTTATGGCACAGGGAACTATATTCAGTATCTTGTAAAATACCATAATGGAAATGAATGTAAAAAAGAATATACATATATATATATTCTCAATAAATGACTAATTTACTCAGAGGAAAATGGAGCATGACAGCTCTTGCTAGTCACTGCACAGATACGCCAACATCCCTAATTTTGAGTTAGGCAGAATCTCAGTGGAATATTTGGGTCTCCCAAACACAAGCACACACATATACTCATAGACACACACATTTCAAGGTGTGGAGATTGAGGTGTTTTTCACTCTGTTTCTTTGCTGATTCATGCCCACTCCATAAAATCTGTGTTAAAGGTGAGGTCTTTCCCCAAGCCTAGTTATTTTCTGTCTGTTTGGATTGGGTGGGATATATCTTCTGCCATATATGTGTGTGTGTGTGTGTGTGTGTGTGTGTGTACGCCTCTGTGTGTGTGTCTGTGTGTGTGTGTATACACACACATATAACTGAATCACTGCACTGTACACCTGAAACTTACACAATATTGTAAATCACTGTGAGGGGAAAGGGGAAAGTGTTACTTGGTCAGTGGTGTCCAACTCTTTGCCACCCCATGGACTGTGGCCTGCCAGGCTCCTCTGTCCATGGGATTCTCCAGACACGAATACTAGACTGAGTAGCCATTCCCTTCTCCAAGGGATCTTCAAAATTCCAGGGATCGAAACTATGTCTCCAGCATTGCAGGCAGATTCTTTAATGTCTGAGCCACCAGGACATTTTAAAAATAATGAAAAGAAAAAAGTAAACTGCCAAGGTAAAATAAGATAGTATCAACATAATTTAGCAAGCAAGTTTCATAATTAGGATCAAAAGAACAGGTCCTGACTGATGATCACTCAATTAGGGAAAGGACTAGAGCACAGCATGGCAGTGGGTATTTGCAGGAAGTTCTTACTTAATAGGTGATAGAGTCAGTAGAATAGCACTGAATATTAGCTCCCTTATGTGCATGGAGGAGTACTGAGAGAAGAGCCTGGAAGAGGTAGAGGACAGATTGTGCATTCTCTTGGTTATGCTAAGGGTCTTACTCTGAGAGCTATGGTAAATCTATGAATGCTTCTAAATAGAAAGTTAATGTGCTTTTATAGGTTTCTTAGAAAGATCATTTTGACAAAAGCATAGAAAATTGACTGAAAAGGGAACAGCATGAGACAACAGAGGTTAAGAGGTTATCACAGTCTTGACAAGAGAAGATGGTGGCCTGAATTAATGCAGTGGTAGTGCCATTACAGAAGTCACCAGTAAGAAGTGTATTCTATTCTATATGTTTTGGATATGTATAGACAGATTTATCTTAAGGAATTGGCTCATGTGATTATAGAAGCTGGCATGTCGAAAATCTGCAGAGTAGGATGGCACCCTGGAGAGCCAGGGAAGAACCAATGTTGCAGTTCAAGTCCAAAGGCAATCTGCTGGTAGAATTCCCTCTTGCTCAGAAGCAATCAGTTTTTTGATCTATTCAGAACTTCAGTTGATTGGATGAGGCCCACCTGCATTACAAAGGGCGATCTGATTTACTAAAAAACCCATTGACTTAAATATTTATCTCATGTAAAAACACCCTCATTACTCTGAACTAATATGTGGATACCATGGCCCAGTCAAGCTGACACATAAAATTAACCATCACCAGAGGGTTATTAAAATGTAGAATTCACTGACCCTGAAAATTTTAGTTGGGAGAACCAAGGGAAGGGGGCATTAAAGAAGGTGGTACCTTCTTTAATAAATAAATCAATTTAATAAATAAAAAACAATTCACAAATAGAGCAGACTTCATCAGGAGGATTACATGATAGGCAACATTTTGAATCTCGTGTCATTTTAAGAAATGTTGTAAAGATGGGAAATATCTAAGAAGCTATTGTGTGTGTGCATATGAAACCCAGGAAAAGTTTAGATGAGAAAGACACACTTGAGAATCATTGGTTTTTGATTATTAAAGTTAGGATATATTAGTTACCTAGGCTTCCCAGGTGGCTCAGTAGTAAATCTGTCTGCCAATGCAGGGGCTGCAGGAGACATGAGTTTGATCCCTGGGTTGGGAAGAGCCACTGCAGGAGGAAATTTCAACCCACTCCAGTGTTCTTGCCTGGAAAATCCCATGGACAGAGGAGCTTGGTGGGCTAAGTCCATGGGGTTGCAAAGAGTTGCACACGACTGAGCACGCACGCAGGCATGAAAGCTTATTAGTTTCCTAGGCCTTCTATAAGAAAATACCACAAACTGGATGGCTTAGAACAACAAGGTTTATTGTCTCCCAGTTCTGGAGGACAGAAATCTGAAATGAAGGTATTGGTAGGGTGCTGCTCTTTCTGAAAACACTAGGGAAGGATCCATCCATTCCAGGCTTCTCTCTTTGTTTCTGTTAGTTCCTTGGCTTGTGGCAGCATAACTTAAGTCTTCACATGGCATTCTCCATGTGTACACAGCTGTCCCTTCGCATGGTGAAGGGAAACCAGTCATGTTGGATTAGAGGTCCAACTTAACTCCAGTTTGACCTCACCATTAGGTTCTTGATTGGTGGCCCATATGTAGCAAATGTCGTTCATTGTTCAGTAGCTATGTGGTATCCGACTCTTTGTGATCCTGTGGACTGTAGCATGCCAGGCTTCCCTGTCCTTCACCATCTCCCAGAGTTTGCTCAAACTCATTTCTATTGAAGTCGGTGATGCCATCCAACCATCTCATCCTCTGTCGCCTCCTTCTTCTACCCTCAATCTTTCACAGCATCAGGGTCTTTTCTAATGAGTCGACTCTTTGTATCAGGCAGTCAAAGTATTAGAGTTTCAACTTCAGCATCAGTCCTTCCAATGAATATTCAGGATTGATTTCCTTTAGGATTGAGTGGTTTGATCTCCTTGCTTTCCAGAGGGCTCTCAAGAGCCTTCTCCAGTTTGAAAGCATCAATTCTTTGGTGCTCAGCCTTCTTTATGGTCCAACTCTCACATCCTCTTATTATTGTTATTGTTTATTGTAATATTATTTTACAATTAAAGTATATGTGTGTTAGTACTTGCAAATATGTTTTAAAAAGAGATCCTTCCATTGAAATTATATAATCTTAAGAAGATCAAAGATACAGAAATAAAAGATACAGAAATAAAAGAAATAAAAAGATAAAAGATAAAAGATAAATAAAAGAAATAAAAGATACAGAATAAAAACAGAGTTTGGTAACTGGGTATCAAAATGTCATTCAGTGTCAGTGAGTTTCTTAGTA